GCCTACCAAAGCCTCCGCCTACCAAGGCATCCGCCTACCAAAGCATCCGCCTACCAAAGCACCCGCCTACCAAAGCATCCGCCTACCAAAGCACCCGCCTACCAAAGCATCAGCCTACCAAAGCATCCGCCTACCAGATTGAACCACCCAGTTGAGTGCGACTAGAACCCGGGTCACAACCGGTCTTTCATGAGCCACTACTAACGACCACATCACTTGGGTTCTTATGAATTTTTATGTTGAATTCCATATGAGTAGCTAAATCCATACGCTAGGGATAGGGGATGATTGATTAGGTTCGATAATAATTGCTTGTTCTTGATTGTTCATATCTATTCAAGTTGTGCTTATTCTAGGGTTAATAGATTGATCACCTGTTTAACCTAACTAATCAATGTGTGGAACCGTGAGGGGAGACGTTGGTCGATATAGGCTTGTTTAGAGTAGACTTGTTCGTAACTGTATTGTCTATGCGTTGCGGGAACTGATAGTTAATCGTTTACATCCACTCTCTTGTTCGTAATTGTATTGAGAGTGAACCTCTGAACGAGAAACGATTCAGGTCCTTAAACCGAGCAATTGATTGCCGGTAGCTGTGGTAGAACCGAAAGCAATTATCCCCGATTCCATAGCTCTTTAATCATTTGAGTAAATTTGTTTTCTGTTTAAGTTGCTTTTCATTTATTTTCAAGTCATTAGTTATAATCAAAACCAAATCCATTGAATAGAGTGTCTAGGATATTTTCTCTTTTCCGTGATCGAATAAACGTACGATTGAATCCGGCTAACCTTCCTTGCGATACGACCCGGGGAACGAATCTTTCGATTCTACTCCGGTAAAAATACTCACAACAATTACACAAATCTGCACTTAAAATCTGGTTTTTCGCGACTTCCGCGGCTGCGGGGAAGCTCCGCTGGCCGCGGTGAAGAACAGCTCCGCGGCCGCGACTTGGTCCGAGGCCGCGGGATTTCTGTGCTGAAGTTTTGGGACCTGGAAGATTTTGTTCGCGGCGGCCCGCGGTGAAGAAAGTGTAGCGGCCGCGGCGTTGAAATCTGCACTGCACGACTGTACGATTTTTGCTCGTTCAGGCTCGTTTTAACTCGGAATTGAGTTTCGTTTTTCTACGCGTCGTTAAAGAGCCCCTCTTTCTAATGGTGTCATCTTCCCCAAAAGATTCTCTAAAACCCGTTCTCCCAGGGTTTCCATACTACAACCAAAAACGAAAAGAGAACAGAAAAATACCGGAAAACAAACGGAAAACACCGCCACACTCAAATGAACGCAAAACACATAATAGATGACAAAAAGATCCTAAAACCACCTAAACAACTCAATACGGGGGGAAAAAGAACAGAAAAAAGACAACAAAAAACGTGACAAAAATGGGACAAACAACTCCCTCACACTTAAACATTTGTTCGTCCCGAACAAAGAGAAAATAAAAGACGCAAAGATCAAGCATGGATAACGATGACAAACAAGAAAGGTCTCAAACTACTCAATTAAATTGAAAAGCATTCAAATGGCCACAAACCACATGCTTCAACTACATACTCAGATAAAGCAATTTGAACGACAAATCTCTCGACAATGGAATATAGGGATGAGCCTCACTAAATTTCTTTCATGAATATAACGAGGTACGCTCCAGTTGGTCAAAATTCAAATTTCACTGAGCCTTGCCTATTGTCTAGTTCCTACTATAAAATAATCAAAATCATGAACTAGCAGATCAAAAGGACTTGACGGGCTGTAGTGTAGGCTCAAGGTAACAAGAGAAATCTAAAATTGTCAAACGGCTACAA